GGGGGGGGGGGGGAATGAGGCAAAGGGAAAGATCAGAGAGACAGCAGAACAAGAATAAAGCAGTGCCAGGGAAGCCAAGGAGATGATGTCCTTTGAAAGAACATTATCGATGGAATGGTTGGTTCGTTCATTCATTCAACAAGTATTTGTTGGGCACTTCTGTGAATCAGGAACTGCACAGTGAAGGATGAATTTTGGTGGCGAAGATGTTAGAGATCAGACGGGAAATTGAGAGGGTGGCAAAGTCAAGGACACTACATATTTTTCAATTGAACTTATTGGGGTGACATTGGTTCACCAAACCATGCAAGTTTCAAGTGTACATCTCAATAAAATATCATCTGCACACTGCATCGTGCACCCATTGCCCCAAGCAAAATTTCATTCCGTCCCCCTTTCCCCTCTTTGCCCACCTCCACCTACCTCCTATCCCTTCCCTCCAGCTATCACCACAGTGCTGTCTGTGTCTATGCGTTATGTAGATAGATATTTTTGTTAATCACTGCTCCTTTTTTCATCCAGTCCCCCCTTCTCCCTCCCCTCTGAGAGCTATCAGTCTGTGCCATGTATCCACACCTCTGTTTCTATTTTGTTGTTCAGTTTATTTTGTTCATTAGATTCCATATATAAGTGAGATCACATAGCATTTTCCTTTCTCCAGCTGGCTTATTTCACTTAACGTAATAATCTCTAGGTCCATCCATGCTGTTGCAAAAGGCAAGATTTCCCTTTTTTTTTTTTTTTAATGGCAGAGTGGTATTCCATTGCGTAAATGTACCACAGCTTTTTTTAATCCACTCATCTACTATGGGCACTAGGGCTGTTTCCAGATCTTGGCTATTGTAAGTAACACTGCAGTGAACATAGGGGTGCATATATTCTTTTGGATTAGAAGGACACTACATATTTTCAAATAGGGATGACCTCAGCATATTTGTAGACTAGGGGAGAGGAGGCAGGGGGAAGGGAATGAGGGGAGATGATGCAGAGAAGTACTGGAGGAAGTTGGAAAGGAGAGGCAAGAAAGAAGATATGCCAAAGGGTTGGTCTTGTAAAGGAAGAGTGACACTTATTCTTTTGATTCCAAAAGGAAGGAGTAAAAATGGAGAGGAATTGAGAGGTGAATCAAGTGTGATGAAAGATGGAGAGGGAAAGATTAATAGGTTCACATGTGTGGCTTCAATCTCATAAAATAGAAGGCAAGAGCATTCTGCAGAGAGGGGGGGAAGGGGGACAGATGAAATAGCTTGAACAGTGTGGAAAAGTTTGAAGAGTTACCTTGAGGGATGTGAAAGGGAGTCAACAAAAGACAAAGGGTTGGGAGCATTTGAGATCTTGCTTCCCAATATATGTTGTCAGTTCGATTCAAATAAACTCTTATTTTAAACACACACACACACACACACACACACACACACACACACAAAACAGCCTTGGCCAGTATGGCTCAGTTGGTTGGAGTGTCAGCCCATACATGGAAAGGTGGTGGGTTGGATTCTTGGTCAGGGCACATACCCAGGTTGCATGCACAAAGCAACTGAAGGAGGTTTCTCTCTCACATCGATGTTTCTTGTTCTCCCTCTTCCTTCCTCTCTTTAAAATCAATAATAATAATAAAAAAAAAAAAGACAAAGGGTCACTGGACTGCACTCAGAGCCCAGCAGCAGGGTTAGTCAAGGAATCTGGGTGTCAGCATGCTCTGGTGATTTTTTTTCTAGTAATATTCCCCTACCAAGGAATGACAAAAAAAGAGGGATGTGGGTGAGCAGGGAGCAACAATCCTGGTTTGAAAACTGACCAGCAGGTAGGTAGCGCAGGGGACAGAATTGAGTAGTCTAGTCTGGGTAAGGAATCAGATAGACCAAAAGGGATCTGAGACTTGAGACTAGGAAGTGAGGACGTGAGACAGGTAAGAGATAGATGGCTGTGGTCAAAGATGACAGCTCTGAATCGTGGAAGCAGAGCTGTTTCCAGCTATAAAAGCTACAAATGTGTTCCCACGGGTGCTGCAGGAGACTGAGGAATGGTGGAGTCAAAGGACATAGGAATTGAGGAGATTGGTGAATTGCGAGGCGTTTAATTTAAATGTCAATTGAAACAAATGTTAACATTGAAAGAAGCCTGGCATGGTGGACATAAGCCTAGGCTGGGGTCTGGAGAACTGGGGTTCTACTTGCAGTTCTATGAATAAACTATGCTGCGGTGAGAAAGGCACTGCCCTTTTCTGGGGTTGAATCAGACTTCTCTGGGACCTTTCTGCTCTAAATGGTAAGAATTTTTAGGGTAATGGCAAGGGACTGGCTGAAGGTGAATGAATATCTCTTCCTTTAGACTGCCCCCGTCTCCCAAGGAGGGTCCGGAACCTTTCTGCTGTGCTTTCTGCCCGGACGTGCAGAAGCGGAGACCGGAAGTCCTTTGCCGGGAGGTTCCGGGTTTCCAGGACTACTACGATGGCGATGAGTTTCGAGTGGCCGTGGCAGTATCGCTTCCCGCCCTTCTTTACGTGAGGCTCAGACCCCGAGAAGCCCCGCTGTGCCTCCCTTCCCTCCCCCGGCCCCCGGGCTCAGCTCTGATCCTTCACTTGGGGAGGGGGAGAAAGGACACGGTCGCCACCACTCTCAGCTCCTCACTTTCTCCTCGAAACGCGCCTCCGGCAAGTGCTGCCTCTCTCCTTCTCACTCCCTGTAATTCTGCAACCCATCCCCTCCGCCCGGCAGGTTACAGCCGAACGTGGACACTCGGCAGAAGCAGCTGGCCGCCTGGTGCTCGCTGGTCCTGTCCTTCTGCCGCCTGCACAAACAGTCCAGCATGACGGTGATGGAAGCTCAGGAGAGCCCGCTCTTCAACAACGTGAAGCTACAGCGTATCCTCCCTCAGACTCGTCCACAGCCCACACACATGCACTTCCACACTTTGCCACATGCCCAGACCACACACACACACTTCACCCACAGTAGTCAGGTTCCCATCCAAACTGGCCTTGAGGAAGAGCAAGTATATGGAGCTGGCATCCATTTTAACCCCAAACCCAAATGCAGCACCAAACCCTTTAGTCCTAGGCAGTGATGGGTACCCAGGTGCCATTCAGGTCTTTCAACTTGAGCCCTTTTGGCTCTGAATTTCCTGTCCTGGTCATTGTGAGGCTCAAACTCATGTACTAACTTTAGTAATGTGTTCCACCTACTCTCCTCCTCCCAGGAAGTAAGGGTCATTTGTTTTTGTTGCCTGATTCATGCCTAAAATATCTGTGCAGGAGGGAGAGCAGACAGAGGATAAGAAAATATAGTACTTTTCATTTTGTAAAGCTCTTCCTTTTAATTGGAATAGTTTGTTTTTATCTTCTTTCCCCCAGTATCCAAGAAGTGCCAGTTTATATCCCGTTGGGGAATTGCACATATATGTATGTGGGAGGAAGAGGTAGGGGGCAGGTGGTTCTCAGCATGAGGCTGGCTCTGCCAATTTTTATCTCACTCAGTTATTCCATTAATGCCATTTCTTTAACCTTAAACCAGGGAAGCTCCCTGTGGAATCAATCCAGGTTGTATTAGAGGAACTGAGGAAGAAAGGTGGGTTCAATTCCCCAGATTTCTTATTTTTCCTCCTAGTTGGGTTTTCCTGAGGGTAGATTAACACATCTTTTAATAACTTTTTTCTCTCTTCTTGCTTGAAGCTCAGAGTTCTCTGTACAGTAGACAGCCCAATTCCCCAGGTCCTTTCCCCCGTTGGTACACAAAGTTAAATCTTTTCATCTGTACCCTAATACCTGAAGAGATGAGGAAGGAGAATGAGCGCCTTGTAGACAGCAATAGTAAAACAAATTTTGAATTTCTCTTTCTGAAAGCTGAGTCTCTTCTCTTTTCCACCTTGGTTTTTACCTCTTTGTCCCTTCTTAGAGCATGATGCTTTCATAAGTATCTGATTTGCAGGGAACCTCGAGTGGCTGGATAAGAACAAATCTAGCTTCCTGATCATGTGGCGGAGGCCAGAAGAATGGGGGAAACTCATCTATCAGTGGGTGAGACTGTTCTGCTGCAATGACAAATACATGGCAAAGGAGAATTGTATCTGTGCTCAGCAGATACCTGGTGTTCCCAGAGCCAGACTGAGCAAAGTGGGAAGGGGCAGAATGAGGAAGTGTAGGTGTTCCAGGGAAGATTCTTTCAGTGACTCAATTTCCAAGGCTTCACAGAAGTTCCCTTTCATTGCCTGTTGGAGGCTAGAGGCTATGTGAGGCCATGTTTGGAGAATGCAGTACTGGGAACCACGAGTACTATTGTTGGCTGGAGCCTCTGGCCACAGGAGATAAATGGGGAAAGGAAGGGGGAAAAAAAATCCATGGGGCCCCTCCCCCACTGCACCCTTACGGGGCTGTCCACAATATGAAGGCGACATTCTGAACCAATGTGGGTGTGGGGACACACTCTGTCTCCCACATTCCTAGCCACCGTTAGCTCTAAACGTTCCCAGGAGAGAAAGGAGGGGAGGAAACATCAACAACCCAAATATAACAAATACATACCACCCATTCCTGAACAGGAAAACAACCAGAATGAGAGGTCACAACTCAGACACGTGAAGGCCTGTGGTTTAGTGGTTCCAAATGTGTGTGTACACATATAAATATAGCACCTGTGTGGTTTGTGGGTTTTAGCCATTTCTCTGCAGAAGTGACAACCCTGGTTTGAGACTGGGTACCATTCCTGGGTCAAGAGGTGGAGCTGGCCAGTTTACCTTCTCCCAGGAGATTCCTAGTCCTTATTCAATCCCGGTTTTCTGTGTCCAGGTTTCCAGAAGTGGCCAGAACAACTCCGTGTTCACCCTGTATGAACTGACCAATGGGGAAGACACAGAGGATGAGGGTAATGCCTTTCTCTTCCCCCAGTTTTGTCATCTGAATCCTCCAGTCCTTGTTTAACTGACATTCAGACTTCCCATTTCTCTGCCTCTGAATTCCAAATACTACGTAATACAAGGGTTCTTAACCCATATCCATTATTTTCATAAACTACCTGAATTCATATACAAAAAGCCCTAAGTTTTGTTTGTAGGGGTATATGTGTTTTATCTAGGGATAGAGTCAGTATTATCAGATTTTCAAGGGCATCTGTGAACCATGAAGTTAAGAATTAGGGGTGTAGACACCAAATGAGGAGCCAGGGCAGGAGATTAAGCTTGAAACCTCATTCCTTGCTGACTCAGGCTTTCTTTCACCCTTTATTCTTATAGAGGGCTCAAGTTTTGTGGACAATAGCTGAAGGGATTGGGCCAACACCCTCAGCCCTGTTAAGTACTTTGTTTTCTGGCCAGGCAATGATTTGCATAGTGATTGATTTTTACATAGCTCTTTTATTTCTGCCTTCAGATTCTGATCCCCAGGATCACCAAAAGTTTCTATCTTAGCTGGGGAAAAGGGGGTGCCTCCCCTTTCTGCCAGGTCCTGACTACCCTAACAGATTTTATAGCTCTTGGCTCTTCCCCCCTGATCTGCAGGCCTCTGCTTGCTACTCCCACCATCACCTATGACTTCAGTGCTTCAGCCTTGCCCAGCCCACTACTCAGGCTGGGCAAAGCTGGAGGCTTCCTCAGAAAGCAAATTTTCTGACTCAAGTGCTGAGCCCCCGCAGGGGATGAGGTGAGCAAGCTTGTTAGGGCTTGCCTCCTGCCTCTCACATCTCCCTAAAGTATAATGCCATATCTCCTGGCCCTCAGACACTCAGCTGGCCCTTGGTTCCCAGCTTGTTTCTTTTAACTAGGAAAGGGCATATATCTGTGCTGGACCTTAACAGTCTCCTGGCCAGATTATACTTCTTTGTGTTAGGACAGGTCCTCATGATGGGTACAAATGTGCAGATAGAGTCAGTCCCCATGACAAGGGCCTTGACCTCCCTAGGGTTGATTGCCAAGGCCCCCTCTGGCTCACAAGCAAATGGTGTCACTCTTGTGCATCAGGCACTGTTTGGGGTGCACATAGGAGTTGAGTCTGACAGAAGAATCAAGAAGGGAAAAATAAGTATGAATATTCATTTTATGCTGACTAAAGCTTTCTTCCTTCCCTTTATAATTTTTTTTTTTTAATTTATTGATTTTAGAGGAAGGGGGAGTGAGAGAGAAACATTGATTTATTGTTCTACTTATTTATACATTCATTGGTTGCTTTTTGTATGTATCCTTACCGGAGATCGAACCCACAACTTGGTGTATCAGGATGATGCTCTAGCTGAGCTACTGGGCCAGGGCATTCCACTCCTTACTGTTAAGGTATACCCAGGAAGGGTGGGTGGCAGCTGCAGCAGTATAGATGGCACATATATATCCTGGCCTTGTAAGCTCTCAGCTTCCAGCTAGACTGCTCTCCCCAAAGGCCTTGAGCCCCAAGGAGCTGAGTGTCCCTGACTACCTCTCTCTCCCTGTCCAGAGTTCCATGGGCTGGATGAGGCAACCCTACTGCGCGCTCTGCAGGCCCTCCAGCAGGAGCACAAAGCAGAGATCATCACCATCAGCGATGGCCGAGGCGTCAAGTTCTTCTAGCAAGACCCGTCTCCCTTTACGCCTTACCTCCCACCCTTCCAGGGCTTTCAAAAGGAGACAGACCCAGTGTCCCCACAGACTGGATCTGTGACTCCACCAGACTCAAAAGGGCTTCAGTCCAGGGATGGGTTTCCACTAACCCCATGTGTTTGTCCCTGGGATAGGGCAAGGCTGAGGTGCCATAGAGAAGAGATGTTCCTCTCCTTGCCCCTTCTCTTCTGTCCTAGATTGTCCCTGAGCCCAGGGTCTGTAAACCCAGCACTTTACATGTGTTCACATATGTAACTACACACACACACACACACACACACACACACATATACACACACACACCTCTACAAGCTTCTCTCCCCCCTCCCACCCCTGTAGCTGCTGTTGCCTCCCCTCTCAGGCTGGTGCTGGATCCTTCCTATGGGATAGTGGAAGCCCTGGCTGCAGGCAGCCTTCCAGGCAATATGAAGAAAGGAGGCCCAAGAAGGGGCCTGCCAGTGAGAGGAGGGGCTGGACAGTGATCTGTGATATTAAAAAGCTCAATCCCACTGCCTGCCTCTGGTATTACTACTGAATGGACATGGGGAGGGCTGTGAAGTGTTACCCCCTGAGAAAATCCCAGCTTAGAAGAGGGAAGAGAAGGCCTATGGCCTCTGTAAATGACAAGGTCCTCCAGTTATGGCGGGCTCCCTGGTGAGCCTGTGGTTTTACATCTGCTGGGTGGGCTGTGTGGGGGAGTGCTGATGGAACACAGCTTGGAGACACTGCTTTCCGTGTCTGAACTGGATGGAGTAACTTAATGGCTTCCCCTTCCTTCACCTCCCCCATGAAAGTCCTGAACTACACTGAAGCCCCTCCCTCCATCCATCTGGTCTGGGTGAGGTAGTTGAGGCCAAGGAGAGTTGAGGGGGAGTAAACCGGACATGGACTTTGGTTTATTGGAAACTTTGGCAAACAGAAGGGGGAGGAAGGAGAGCCCACATAGCAAAAACAGCCACTCTTAATCAGGGCCAAGCTGCGGTCAAGGTAGGGAGGTGGAAGGGATGGGTGACCGGGGCCTTGGTTTGGGGGTGGGGCTTGTCCTGGGGTGCACACACCCATCCCTGTGCAGCTGGGAGGGATGGCGGCGTGTCGGAGAAAACCAGACCTTCCCATTGACCTCTGTATTGTCAGCCTGGTGCTACTCTGGACAGCTAGGAGGGGTGGTGCTACCTTATCTGGGGCGTGCAGGCGTGTGGTAGCCTCCTCTAGCCACCCCCCTTTTCTAGGGCCTGGGAGCCGAGGTCACGTTTCCTCTCCCTGTCCAGCGTCATGCCCCCCACCAAACAGGTTTGCGCACTCTTAGTGCGAGAGGACACCCCGTGGCCTCGCACCCGGCACTTAGGAATGAGACTGAAGGCGGGGAAGC